ACATCCGTAGTTAATGTCAGCAATTATTACTTATTGTATCCGCTATTACCAGTGGTGGATCTATAGTGGGACAGTGAGGTCAGTTGCCCCATCTCTATATATAGTAGTTCATTGTGTGTATATATATAGTATATGTTTAGATATAAATAAAATGATAAGTTATGTTTTTAATTAATGTAGGAAAGGCCAAATGCATGGTTGAATCTCATTGTTTTTCCTGGTCGAAAAATCATATGGATCTACCCCTAGTTATTACATCTAGTATACATGAACCCCAATGGCACAATCTGGATTAAGGCCGGACTTCCAATGGTCCTCGCAACATGAACCTCAATGGAAACCTGAGCCATTAAACCCAATCAGCGGGCCGGGCTTAGAACATGACCATGTACACGTATTAGTCAAACCATACACACAATAAATACATATATATGCATGCACATGTACCCAACCTGCAAGTGAGTTGACTCGGCCAAAAAATCCGAACAAATTTGAATGGACGGTTTCTGAACCAAATCCTCGTGGACACGGAAAGTTCATTCTCGATAGAGACTTTTTTTTTTTTTTTTTTTTTTTTTTTTTTTTTTGTAATTATTTTTTTTAGTTAATTTTTACATTTAATCATTAATATAGGTATACAATTTATTTATTTATTTATTTTTAAAAAGAGTCAAATTGACCCCATAAATCAAGCGAATAGTGAAATTGAACCCCATAAATAAAAAAGCTGCATTTAAATCCTCTAAACCTGTAAAAAAAGTTCAATTAAATTCAAAATTACCTATTTGGCAGGTTAGTGCCTTCTAATGCTAACATGTTTCTCTTTTTAAATTTTTTTTGTTTATCTTTTATTATTATTATTATTATTATTATTATTATTATTATTATTATTTTATTTTATTTTTTAATTGTTCATACAGCCCTCGACTGTAGACGGCTGGTGGATGTACTCTTTCAAGGACAACCATGGTTGTCTGCCGACAGCCACAGCTGTCCTAAAAGACGGCCATGGCTGTCTCACCTGACAACTGAGGTCGTCTCCATCTCCACTTTCTTTCTTTCTTTCTTGTGTGTTCGGACGGCGGGCGCGAGCAGCGAGCCATTGGGAAATGTATGCTCTCAATCTCCATCCATCAACATACGAGTTCCCACGCTCACCCAATCCCAGATCTTTACCACAGCTTTGCCCTTTACTTCACTCGCACAACACTATTTCCTTCCCTCTGCACCCACAAATCCTTTGTCCCACTCGATTCATGCGGTTTCCCATCACTTCTTCTACTACTTTCTTTTCTAATTTTCCGACAGATTCCCTGAAAAATGACGGAGACGACCTCATCTGTCTTGTGAAACAACCATGGCCGTCTTTTAGGACAGTTGTGGCTATCGGATAGCCACGACCATCATTTTTTTCCAGTCGTGGTTGTCGCTGGACAGCCATGGCTGTCCTAGAATGAGTACAACCATCGGCGGTCTACAGTCGGTGGCTGTATGAACAATTAATAATAATAATAATAATAATAATAATAATAATAATAATAATAATAATAAACCATGTCAACATTAGAAGGCACTAACCTACCAAACAGGTAATTTTGGACTTAATTGAACTTTTTTTGTTTTTGTTTTTCAAGTTTAGAGGATTTAAATAGAGATTTTTTTAATTTTTAATTTTTATTTTTTAACTTAATTAGGGGGCTCAATTGCACTATCCGCTTGATTAAGGAGGCCAATTTGACATTTTTTTTGAGATACATCTTGTTATTTAACTTCTTTACAGGACTATAAGGTATGACCGTTGTTGAGTATAAAGAATAAATATGTAATTTAATTATCAATTTAGACTTTTAGTTGAAATGAAACAAACTATTCAATTGTAGTAAATGTTGCTTAAAATTAAGGTTCAACTTTGTTTAGCTAGTTTGTTTGTTTTTTAATTTACATGTGTAATTAAGGAACTAAGTTAACTATTATTATCTATTTTAATGACCAATCTTGCAATTAATCGTTTATTTACTTATTTTTTGCGCAAAATCACAAAACAAGTAATGAAATAGTCAATCACTAATCTTAAACTTTATCCACGCAATTATATCTAGAAAAAGTAAGTAATTTTCATCAAAGATTTTTGGAGTCTGAATTTTGTCATTTTGTTTGCCAAGAAAACAATATAATTATTCCATTTTGGTTGAATTAATTTATTTCATATGTAGTCGTGTACGCTTGAGATCCCACATTCACATTGGTGGGTAACCAACGAACAAAATATATGCATGCGGGGTAACTACGTACGTTTCACCTTTCTAAAAATATATTTGCTTGCTTCTTTTGAACTGTCTTTATCCAATTTCACATGCAAAATATAACAACTTTACTTTCTTTAAGAAATTATATTTCTTACGTACAAAGCATGGTGCGTTATGATACGTGATACCAAAAATTTCGTATTAATATAATAGTATGATATGACACGATGATAAACATTATATTCATATCATGCTAGACGTTCTTTTATTTTTCGTCATATTTTTTACCGCCTTACTTGAAAAAAAAAAAAAAAAAAAAAAGACATTCATAATTCTTTACCGCCTTACTTGGAAGTGTTTTCACTAATAATTTTTTTTTTCATTGTTTAACATTTCTTATTTAATGGGCCTTTTAACTTAATAATATAAAGAATGGTAAGGGTAAAAAATACCAATTGTTATACCCTGCGCCACGGCGCACATAGCACTGTACGCGCGGTCTCCCAAAACGATGTCGTTTTGGTAAGTTATGTAGAGAGTTGACGTGATTATGTGCATTTGTTTATACAATTATGTGTATTTGTTTATACAATTATGTGTACTCTAGTATAAAATTATGTACATTTTTGAACATAAAATTTTTTTTAAAGAAAAATAACCGTCAACACAGGGTAGCGAAATTAATTTAAAAAAAAAAAAATCTGAAACGACGTCGTTTTGCATCAGGGGGCGCAATGCAATGCGCGACCTGGTGCACGATATACATTGCCAAAAAATACAGAGAAATAAACATTTTCCTTATTTATTAAATCAGCACTACTACTATACATACTTCAATTAGAGATAGAAAATACTCTTAACATTAAAAGATTGTATTTGTAAAAATACGATAGTGTATTATTGCACCTAGGGTTGGATTTTAATGTTTGACTAAGTTTTTTTTTTTTTTTTTTTTTTTTTTTTTTTTTGGTTTAAGAGTTTAGCTTTTACTGCTTAATTAAGGTTTAAAATTTATGATTTATATTTAAAATGTTGCTTTTTTTATTGATTTTTTAAAAGTTATTCATGAATACATTGTCACAGAATGCATAATACAGTGTTCTAAAATGCATAATAAAGTTGATAATAATTACGAAAATGTCATGGTATTTTTTTAAAAAAATTTGATCTGATCCATATTGTCAAAACGTGACAGAGAAATAAAAAATCTTTTAACTCATAATAATCTCTTTGAATTCACAACATTATATTGCTGGCATCACTATATACGTACATTGGAGAAGAATAGGGTTGCCAAATCTTGTTGCGTGGCATAACAAGTTTTTAAGTTGACAAGAAACACAGCATATCACATGTCCCTACTACTATACCTATATATTGGAGGAGGTTTACCTGGTTGCCTTGGTCAATATAATATAAAACATTATATGTATAAAATAATAATTCATTCTTCAATATAATTCTATTCTGATCTGGAATTTATTGAGTATGGTGAAATACATTACCTAAAAATTAGCTTAGCTTCCCAACCAAAAGTCGGTTAGGAAAAATTTGCAACTACTTTTAGCCCTATCTTGCACTCATTGTGAATTAAAATAGGTGCAATTCAAGATTCTTACTTTAAAGAAAGAATAACATCGTGATCACTCAACTTGTATTATTCTAATTTGCAATTTACAATTAATTAATAATTAAGTTAATCAAGTGTTGTCAAACATCTCGTGCTCAGATGACACTTCGGTATTGAAGTATTGACTCTTTGGGCTGCAACAGATAGAGAAAGGTCATAGAGAAAGTATGTCTCATTATTTACAAATGCGTTGCTAATATGTGAAACCGTGTGAAACGGTCTCATGCTATGCAAGTTAGGAGTGCACTACTATTGAGGGGGCAACCACAACCAATTTAGTCAAGTAGTTGGCTTGGCAATCATAGGCCAGATTGACTTGGCAATCACATGCCAGATTGACTTGGCAATCACAGACTGAGTTCTAACATTTTACTATAAAGTTAAAGCTTTTAACAACTCACATTTTACTTGCACAAGATTGATGTGATGAGTTCATATAGAAGATGTGCAATGTCAAAAACATTTTCCTCACATGTTAATTGAATAATTGGTTTGATGTTAGTTTTAATTAACTCTCTCATGAATCTTGAAAAGCTTACTTCCTATTTAATTTCCTAATGATCACAACATATATTCCCCTTTACAACACAACACTTATGCAAGTAAATAGTTCACGTCACATATTCTTACGTGTCATCTTATATTACAAGAAATGAATTAATACCACTAATAGACTTCAAAGTAAAATAATTCGAAATGGTAAAGAATATGTATGTACCTAGCTAAATGGCAAAGATCTAGCTTCTATGACTCAGTTGAGTTACCATGATTTACATCCTCTCAGATGCTCTGTCGGGTTGAGGTGTGGGGCTTTTAGGGTTGGGGATTCAACCTTCTTGGAAAGAATAATAACAAATTTACAATCTAATTCTACTTTTAGAGGATACTAAAAAAAAAAAAAAAACCATAATTATAACACCACGTAATTGAAATTAAAATGGAATTTAGACATTTTTATTATTTTAGAATATGAAAGTGAAATTTATCCATAAAAAAATAAAAGAGGGGTCATGAAGGCAGCATGGGAAGGGGAAAGATGTTACTGATGACCTAACACACGAAATGCACTAACAATAAAGAAAGAGAAGAAGTCAAGCCCAAAAGGAGTGTCTAGAAATGCTGTCTTTTCTAGTAGTTGTAACACACCACCCCCATCCTACACTTAATACTCGGACAAACACAAAAAAACTCCCAACCAAATTCCTCTTCTCTTTCTATATTTTCATTACCTTCATTTCATATTCTTTTTTCTTTTCGATTCTCATCATTCATTCATATCAAGATTGAGACATATCGTCTATCGATTATCATCAGACGATTCTTAATTAATTAAGGTTTTGTTTGGGAGATCGAGGAATTAAGATGACGAGCCAAGAAAAGGGTCATAAAGCTTGTGATCTGACATCCTCATCCTCCTCCTCTGACGACGGTGGTGTGAAGGTGGTGGCGCCGGGCAAAAAGGGTTGCTGCGGCGGCGGAAAGAAGAAGAAGGGCGGAGGAGGAAAGAAGGGGAAAAGATATGGTTTGGTTTCATTTGAAGAATTGCCGGAGTACATGAAGGATAATGAGTTTATTTTGAATTATTATAGAGCTGAATGGCCTTTGAAAGAAGCTCTTTTCAGCGTTTTCCGATGGCATAATGAAACGCTAAACGTTTGGACGTAAGATGATAATTTTGCCTCTTTTTTTTGAAGTTATTTTGTTTTTATGAAATTTGATTATATATATATATATATATTTTTATTTTTGCAGACATTTAATTGGATTTGTTCTCTTCTCGATACTGACCATTGCGAATGTAGTAAATGTTCCTCAGCTAGCAGATTTCATGACGCTGTTTACATGGTAATAATTTTGTTATTATTACAAAGTAAATTTTTGTTTTTAAATTTTCCATTGATAATAACTTTGGAAATTCTTGACACTACAATCCATATTCACTGAAGCTGGAAATATTCAAAGGGAAAAAAGAAAAACATGAAGTTTTTTAAAATTATTTTTACTAAATTGAAATTTTTATAAAAGATTTTTTAAACCTCATACTTAAGTAATACTGAGTTTGGTTAAATCAAAGTAATACTGACCTCTAATTTTAAGTTAAGATCAGATTAGAAGTGACAATTAAGCTATGGGTGGCAATGCTAATCAAATCATTTATTTACATTAATACTAAATTTAGAATTTTTTTTATAATTTTAAATGTGTTATAAAATTGTACCTTATACTTTGTTAAAGGTACATAAATACAGAAAAAATACAAATTGTTAAGTATAAAATTTAACTTTTTAAATCACGGACACTGTAAAATTTTTTTACAACACAAATACTAACACGTTTACAATCTCAACATTGTTAATAGATCATGATATTTTTCATATCATACTCAAAAAAAATTATTGTTTATAAAATCAATCAATTCTTGTTGAAGTTGACCACTGGCATTGATTGTTCATATTGTATGTAGTTAAAAAGTAATCTTATATCTCCAGATTCTTGAAGTTTTTGGATATATAATTGTGATATATACCTAAACATTATGTCATTAATGTATTAAAAAATTTTACAATGTCGTGAGTTATAATGTTATGTGCTTTATAAAATTATACATTATACTTAATCAAATGTTAATCAAATATACATAAAGAATATAACCGGGAAAGTGTTATAAATATAAATATAAAATATATATATATATATATATATATAAAACCTGGAAAGTATAAAGTACTCTGTAAATATTAACATGTTAATTACAACCTCATTAATAGAGTGATATATATATATATACACTAAAAATTAGGTCATCAAACTCCCAACTACATCCCATAAATTTCTTCACGTTTATTCACAAAGTCTTGTCTGCCATATTTATTCAAGTCCATGTTCTGCTACCAGACTGACAGCTACCTCATGAGTTTTAATTAGTGTTTTACATAGCCTTATTTCACTCTATTAAATATAATTTAAGTCAAAAAGGTAATTTAATAGATAAAAAGTTTCACTTAAGATTTGTTTCTAATAGTAAATGGTGGTTTGATCCCTGCCACAAACATAGAAAGTTTAAATATTAATGAAATTTTTATGGACAAAAGTGTACATTTTGATGTTGAATATAATTAACTTATAATATCATGTAATTTTTTGTTTTTGTTTCTATATTGATAAAATTAAATTATGATATTATTAAGTTTCACTTTAAGCCCCGACTAATGTTTGATTTATTTATGGTCATTATTTACAGGAATTTCCCAACAAGTGCAGAGACAAATATATCTCAAAATTTTCAGGTAGGGGAATTTTGTACTTTAAAAAATTTATTTTAGGGTTCATCATTTTAACCCTGTTTAGTAATATAGTTAGCTTATCAGTCACTTTTAGCTTATTTGACAACTATTAGTTGTTTGACTTGGTTAAACAATCAATATGAGTGTTTGATTAATTAATTTATGTAACAACTTATTGTTCCAAAATGTTAAAATTCAAAAAGTTGCTCAAAACAGTTTTTTTTATTAGCTTTTCGAGAAAGTCATTTTATATGTATTCAGCTAACAGCTAATTTATCAAACAGTTTTTTACAATCAGCCAATGCTATATCAGCTAACAGAAAGAGTTGTGATGTTGCAGGGGGCAAAGAGAATGATAGAGCTAAAACATGGGCAGAGTTTAGAAATGGACATAACAAGAGCAGCAGGAGAGATGGTTATTACAACAGCAACAACATGGCCATTCTATGTGTTCCTAGGAGGATCAATGTTCTGTCTCCTAAGCAGCAGCATATGCCACCTCTTCTCTTGCCACTCCCACCACCTCACCCTCCAGCTCCTCCAAATGGACTATGTAGGCATCAGTGTGATGATAATCACCTCATTCTTCCCACCAATCTACTACATTTTCCAGTGCTCCCCCCACTGGCAAATCCTCTACCTCACCGGAATCACTGTCATGGGCATCTGCACCATCATCACCCTCCTCACCCCCGCCTTCTCCACCGGCAAATACAGGTCCTTCCGCGCCTGTTTGTTCATGGCAATGGGGTTCTCGGGCCTCATCCCGGCTCTCCATGCCCTCGTCATCAACTGGGACGACCCTCAGAGGAATGTCACCCTCGCATACGAAGGAGCCATGGGGTTGTTCTACATCACTGGGACTATGTTTTACATCACCAGAGTCCCCGAGAGGTGGATGCCGGGCTTCTTTGATCTGGCTGGCCATAGCCACCAGATCTTCCATGTGTTTGTCATCTTGGGTGCCTTGGCTCACTATGGTGCAGCACAGATTTTCTTGGAATATCGTGACAGGTTGGGATGTCAAAGAATTAGGTGACACAAGAAAGTAAACCGGTCTGGCTAATAGTTAGTCCAGTTGCTAATTGATATGATGTAGTGGGCGGGTATTACATGTATGTATACATTTGTTTTAGAAGAAACAAATTCAGATTATTATTGATTTGTTGTAATATTTCATATTTGTATACTCTCAGAAATGATTCTATATAAACACATATATTTGTGAAGGTTAGTCTTCTCTTCAATTTTACGACGTGATATTAATAATGTTCACAAGTGCACCATAAGGCTAGGAGAGCCCCAACATGAATTGGATCTCCAAGACGTGTTAAAATTGATTCTTGATCAAAACTAGTTCATGTTTCAATTGTGTCCAAAGAAACCGATTCAATTAACATCTCTAGTTGTTTGTCACATAATTTATCCATACGCGCACAACATCCTCATTTCCTTTGCAGCAACCACTAGTGCTAGTTGCAATTGATGAGCAAAATTATAAATGTAGAAAGCCCACACATGAATTTTCATTTAGGATCAAAGTTTTAAGACTGTTGATGCACATCGCAAATTACTTGCTGAGAAAATATCATTTTTAGTCCCTCGACTATAATACATGTATCAGTTTCAGTCCTTGACTATTAAAATTTTTAATTTTGGTGCATGACTGTTTTATTTGTATGCATTTGGTCCTTGACTATTAACATTTTTAAATTAGATGCATGATTATTCAATTTGTATCACATTTGGTCCTACCGTTAAGGCGCCAGATTAAGGTTCTAGTCCGAAAGGGCGTGGGTTCAAATCCCACTCTCAACAATGTTTTCACATTCACTTCTGGACAACCCTGACTATATGTCACAAACATAGATTAAATTAAACTGAACCACTAAATATACACATAAGTTGAGATGGCCGAGTTGGTCTAAGGCGCCAGATTAAGGTTCTGGTCCGAAAGGGCGTGGGTTCAAATCCGACTCTCAACAATGTTTTCACATTCACTTCTGGACAACCCTGACTATATGCCACAAACATAGATTAAATTAAACTGAACCACTAAATATACGCATAAGTTGAGATGGCCGAGTTGGTCTAAGGCGCCAGATTAAGGTTCTGGTCCGGAAGGGTGGGTTCAAATCCCACTCTCAACAATGTTTTCACATTCACTTCTGGACAACCCTGACTATATGCCACAAACATAGATTAAATTAAACTGAACCACTAAATATAAGCATAAGTTGAGATGGCCGAGTTGGTCTAAGGCGCCAGATTAAGGTTCTGGTCCGAAAGGGCGTGGGTTCAAATCCCACTCTCAACAATGTTTTCACATTCACTTCTGGACAACCCTGACTATATGCCACAAGTAAATTAAACTAAACCACAAAACTTATACATAAGTTGAGATGGCCTAGTTGGTTTAAGACAATAGAGTAAGGTTTTGGTTCAAAAAGGGTGTGGGTTCAAATCCTACTCTCAACAAGTTTTTTATGTCCACTTCTGGACAACCCTGACTATATGCCTCAAAAGTAGATTAAATTAAATTGAACCACAAAAAACGTTTATCATGTTAGCAACATTCCCTTATAAATAATTTGGTATCAGGCTTATGCATTACTCATGTTTAAAAAAAAAAAAAAAATCGTATCAAAGATATTTTTCAACAATTGTCTATGCATTACTCATGTTTATATAGGTTACTTCTTCACAACTTCAATCACTAAGTGTAAGAAATTCAATTCAATTAATAGCACCCACAAATGCAGTGAACAATGTTTAATTTAAATAAAATATTATCATAAGCAAATTAAAGATATTATGCCACTCAATTCATCTTAAAGTTTTACTATATGAAATCTTAAATTTTATTTCATTAATTATACTAAATAATAATGCGATAAGTACAAATAGAACACTTTCATCTTGTAGTCCAAAAAAATTGTTTATTAGAAAGACTACAGACGTACAGTAGCTTCTTCAATTCTCTCAAATTAAATCCACAATACAATGAATAATCAACCTTACCATTATTTTCCAACATTTTTTTCTATGACTTCAAATTAAAGCAATATATCAGTATGTAGTATCAACTTTCAACCAATATATGTTCATGCATGCAATGCTCATCCTAATCACAAACAAACAAATAAATTGCCCTAACTTCTTCTTCCTATTTAAGGCCCCCACACCCCAGCCAGACATAGCATTTGGAAGGATTAAAATTAAGACGCAATCAAATTGGTGAGTCGGTATTTTGGAATAGCCTTTAAAGAATTAGCCCTAACTGTTGCAGTTCCAAACAGCTCAGTCATGTCCAAATCTTCGGGCAACATGCCATCAGGAAGCTCCCAATCAAAGCAATGAACCAGTTGAGCCACTATGAGACGAACAATCACGAGTCCGAGTTGAATACCAGGACAACTTCTCCTCCCAGACCCAAACGGCAATAACTCAAAATCATGCCCCTTAACATCTATGTCACTCCCAAGGAACCTTTCTGGAATGAACTTCTCAGGCTCGGGCCAGAACTCGGGGTCTCTCCCGATGGCCCAGGTGTTCACCAGGATTCTCGATCCTTTGGGGATGTGAAACCCGCTTACCATTGAATCCTCCATGGCTTCGTGAGGGAGGAGCAATGGCGCAACGGGATGAAGCCTGAAAGCTTCTTTGATCACCATTTCTAAGTAGTGTAAGCTTTTGAGGTCAGATTCTTGCACCATTCTATCTTTGCCCACTACTTCCTCCAATTCATTTTGGACCTTTTTCATCACCATTGGGTGTCTGATCATCTCTGAGAGTATCCACTCTATTGCTGTTGCAGAAGTGTCCATGGACCCCACAAGCATATCCAACATGAGGGCTTTCACATGTCGCCGATCGAACTGGAACTCAGATTGGAATTTCCCAGATTCCATGATCCCAATCAACGTATCAACGATGTCTTTAGTTTGTTTCTCATCTTTACCCTCAATGTGGTCGTTGATAACCCTCTCGAAGAAATCATCGTAGATTCTAGCCACGGCTTTCATGCGACGGGTTAAACCTTGGAAATCGAAACCGCCCAGAAGAGGAAGATAGAAATAGTCCTTAAGATTTGGAGCCGCCGAGAGCTGGGTGGTCTCCCTCATAACGCCTCGAAACCCCGTTTCTGCGAACTCCTCTTCCGTGTACTTTTTCCCGAACACCATTACACAGCTCATGTTGGCGTTCATGGTGGAGACGAAGGCGCTGAGGTCAACGGGTTCGCGGGCCGTGGCGTTTTGGATGAGGGAGATGACTCCCAGTTTGACTTCTTGTTCTCTGGCGGGGCGGAAGGAGGTGATCTTGAGAGGGCTGAGGAGTTGCAGGGTGCAAAGCTTGCGCATTTGGCGCCAGTAGGGGCCGTACTTGGCGGCGATGAGGTCTTTCTCGTCGTAGAGGATGTACTTGGCGGCCTCGTAGCGTGGCCGGCTGGCGAAGACGTGGTCGTGGGTCTTGAGGAAGAGCTTGGCGGCGTCGGCGGAGGAGACGTGGATGATGGTGGCGGAGCCGAAGCGGAGGTGGATGATGGGGCCGTGTTGTTTCGCCAAATGGTACATGTCTTGGTGGGGATTCTTGCCCAGCAGATGAAAATGTCCCAGAATGGGTAATCCCTTTGGACCAGGCGGAAGTCTTTTCTCCTTCTTCTTCATTGCCATTTTTGCAAGTGCTGAAAAAATGGCTGTGATGAACACTGTCCAAATCCAAGCCATATATGTGTTGGGCGGAAACTGGTAAAGGGATTGTCCAATGGAGGACAGAAAGACCAAGTTCAACATTGCCTCTAAAAAATATGATGGTATAAAGAAATAAAATTGTGTCTCTATAGCTTAAGAAATAATGGTAAGCACTTGATCAGATATTAGAGTGACTCAAAAGTTGTATAGTTGAAGGTTGGTAGGTGCTGGATTGTTAATTGGGCTGTTTTTGCAATACGAGCTGAGGAGAAAACGCTGCAAATGCAAAGGATAATGAATGATAAAGATGAGAAGACAACGATACACAAAGTCACGTATTTATACAGGTCTGTTGGCTAGCTAATTAAATACTATTGCAGATTCAATAATATGGAAGTATGGAACCTCTGGGTCTGTTCAGCGAAGAATGTTTAAGATGCCCGCCAAATAAGAAAAGACAATTATTTAATGAAGACTTTTATTTATTTTTGATACTAGATACTATAAAAATAAAAATAATACTATTTTAGCCATCATGGTAGCTTAGTTGGTTCTCGGAAGACAGATTGCACCCAAGAACATATAGTAAGATTGATGAGAGAGAGAGAGAGAGAGTGACGAGTTCAAGGGGTGAAGCATATATATGATTCTTGTATCAGAAAGTCTTGAGTTTAATTCTAGCCTACATTCTCTCAATTGAGCTTATAACACATAGTCTCGATTTATCTGTTTTGTATGATTTGTGAGTTATTACACAAAAGTGGAGTTAACACATAGTGCACACCCTTCAATAATTACGGTTTACTCCTCCAAAAAAGAGAGAGGGAGAGCGCGGGGAATTTAGACTTAAGACTTCACCTTCTTCCGACTTGAATTTAGACTATTAAAGCAATAACTTAATAGTCAAATGCAAATTTAGACTTAAGACTTCACCTTCTTCATTCCTAACTCTAGTTTAATGCAATAACTTTTAGTCAAATGGTTAAGAGGGCAACTCTTGACCTTTAAAATAAGGGAATCAAATCTTATGACTGCGAATGAATAATTGTGTGGAGATTTTTTGTTTTTAATTGAGAGTATTCACTATATATTTATTTCAAAAAGTATGTTATGATTGATTCAGTTTTGTTATTATTAATTATAAATATTTATTATGGTTAGTGTTTCAAAGTAATGGTCCAACTTTTTAATTTTAATTGAGAAACGATATGATTCATTTTATTGAGAAAAAAAATAGCTTTTTAGTGTTTGATTAACAGTTGAAAAATTATGTGTATCTGGAGATGGAATTGACTATTGACCAGAATTGCAAGTTTGGACCAAACATATATAGGTTGGTGTTGGGTGATTGACAAATCTAGAAGTAGAGGTTAATTGGATGATGCACCATTATATTCCGCAGACTGCAGTTGCGGTCAGGGCTACCACTAACCATGATGACCAATGCTATCTCGCGCCAACATTTGACTTAAGACTTTGCAACTCAACTACTAAGGAATGAGAAATTAAGCACGGCGGCCACCGGTTTGTTTATTTTCAAATGAATTGTGTATTAATTTACTCGGAATAAGGGTTGGTAGTCATATACTGACCGTACCCGGGTCGTGCGTAGATACTACAGGTCGGTTCCCTTACACTACGTAACGTCGCTTCTTATTCAACCGGGTAGATAGTCGAGAATCTTTTCCCGACCGATCCGGTCGAGAGCACATCGCCAAAGATAGTAGCAGAAGACTTGCGCCACGTGTAGGGCGCCCCTCGGACAGGGTGGCCACGAGTGCATGCCGGCCACGTTGCCGCCATGCTAGGACCCCAGATCCTGTCCCTTCACCCTCTATAAATACCCGTACTTATGACGGTGAGAGGGACTTTTGGCCCCTGGCTTGACCGGAACTTCTCGACCCACCGTCGTTAGTTCCCGAGCTCAAGCCTCACGCATCACACGGTATCATATGGGTCACCGTATATACACTATCAAGGGTCAAACACGTCTCAATTGCACACCAAATTGCAATTGAGTTATCGAATAAAAAAATGTAATTGGGTCCCTAAACAATGCAAACACATACAATTCGACCCAAAATGACTTGTTTACTTGAAAACATGTTGATGTGATGGATATCGAATTTAAAAATAATTATTTAAAATAATTTTAAATAAAATAATTATTTAAAAAAAAAAAAAAAAACCCCTTCGCCTCCGGCCGTCTCCTTAACCATGGAGACGGTCAGAGATGAATTGATGTGTAGTTGAGCGGCCTATTTGACCCTTATTCCAATTTATTTTGATTCATGTGTGCAATAATTACAATTGAATAACATTTAAAAATGAGATGATTATGATGTTCAACGAGAATAAACAACTAAGGCATGGAAAATGAGGATAAATCGTAGTAAACTAGCTAGTAACGTTGTTTGGAATAATAAAAAGAATATTATTCAGAATACAAGAATATAAAATTTCAAGAATTTCCCACAGAACACGGAGTAATAAACTACAAAGAACAAAGGACTTTACTACTTGCACTTAATTTTGCACTAGCTTAAGGTTTATGAAAGAAGCAAAATACCATATAGAAAGATGAGATTGTTATGTTGCATGAAAATCTCGTGACGATAGTGTTTCTCTGTTTCTGAAATGTTTCGTTTTCAAGAATTTTCCTAATTATCCCCGGGACTCATCTAGTTGGTTCGACGCTTAACTTAAAAGTCATGACTGAAGGCGTGACAAATTATGCCATGGGCACGTGTCCACCTTGCAAGGTGGACACGATTCCATATCCATAATTTCTATACTGTAGATTCATAATTTCTATATTGTAGATTCATAAAATTTATACTTTAGATTCCAATTGTTGAACTCTGTTTTCACAAATCAGAGAACTATATGTTCATAATTGATAACTATACAGTTTAGAAATTATGAATCTACTGTATTTAAATTATGAATCTAAAGTATAAATTTTATGAATTTACAGTATAGAAATTATGAATCTACAGTATAAAAATTATGGATATAGAACTGTGCGACGTGCTCACAACATAACAATCCGGAGGCCGTAGTGTGGGGTCTGAATCCCACTGGAAACATGTATGAAAAAAGGCTCAAGGATGTTGAAAGTTTTGGATTGGATATATTGTGCGCACATAAAGACTAGGATCTGATCGGTGGGTTGATTACGTTACTCGCAATTTACCTCCGCAGTGACAAATTATGTTGTGCATCCGTATGCATCATGCATGGTGCATACGGATGCAAAAACGACGTCGTTTTGCATCAAAACGCACGTCCTACTTAAAAAAAAAATCAGTTTCGATTCCCAGCAACAACATTATGTTATTCATTTTTTAGTTCATTCATTCTGGATTTTTAGGTATGAAATTTTGGATGTATAGTTATGCAATTCTGGATGTGTAATTATGAAGTTATGAATGTGTAGTTATGCAATTCTGTATTTATAGTTATGAAGTTATGAATGTGTAGTTATGCAATTCTGGATGTATAGTTATGAAGTTATGGATGTGTAGTTATGCAATTCTGGATTTATAGTTATGAAATTATGGATGTGTAGTTATGTAATTCTGGATTTATAGTTATAAAATTATGGATGTGACGAAATTATGGATGTGTAGTTATGCAATTCTGAATTATTAGTTTTTAAGTTAGACGTCAAAATGACGTCGTTTTTGCATCCGTATGCACCATGCATGGTGCATACAGATGCACAGCATAACGTTCCCTCCGTAGTGGCTAGGGATGGCAATGGGTCATGGTGCATACAGATGCACAGCATAACGCTCCCTCCGTAGTGGCTAGGGATGGCAATGGGTCAGGGAGGGCTACATCCATCACCCGACCCACCTTATATTTTCTCCACTCATTCTCACCCCTAAGCATCGCGTGGACATTTTCAAAATCCACCCCTGTCCCACTTGGTGCGAGTGCCCATTACGGGTACCAACAACTTAATTATCTTATTATTTTTTTTAAAAAATAATATTTAAATTATTTACACATAATAAAATAATAAAAATTTACTAGTCATATTAAAATATAAAATAATAGAAATAATAAAATATAATAAAAACTAAATTGTTAATTTTTTAAAAATAAACTTGTTAGTTTAGAACTGAAAATAATAAAAAATTAATAAAAGTGTTAGAAACTTTTATAATTAACTACATACTACTATACTAATACTTATTATATATATATATATATATATATATATATATATATATATTCTCTTTTGAAGTGATGCATTTTAATATAGTAAGAGAGATAATTAAAAAAAAAAAATAACAATCAAAGGAAGCATAAAGTAAATGATTCACTTAAAAAATAAGAATTGCATTTTTGAGAAATAATTTTTTTAGATGACGTGGGAAATTTGTAATCATTATTGGAGTAAATATGTTGATCTGGATAGAAATACTTTTTTCATAGGCACTGATTCATCGGAAAATTGAAACATATTTCCCAAGCATTGTCAAAATTGAAAGGTCTTTCAACATTTTTTTTTTTTGAAAACCAAAAACTTCATATATTAACTTAAACCAGCAGGAATAAAAGGAGGTAGAGCTTCCCTCCAGACTGAACGTGTCTGAACCGCACCAACGTGCTTAGCTAATGCATGGGCGACCATATTGGTGCCTCTGCGTACAAACTTAATAGAGCAAGCAGAAAACGAATTAATTAAACGTAAACAGGAATCTAAAACAATGCCAAGATACGAACGATAAGAACTGGCATCCCGGAAACTAGCAACGAGAACAGCACAGTCCGATAACATGAGGACGTTTTGATAATTGTGATCCTGCAGCCACGATAGAGCCTCACGTATTGCCATAGCCTCGGCCAATAGGGGATCATACGGACAAGAGAGGGGGCCATTAGCCGCTGCAACAAAAACGCCATCCAAGCTGCGTATATAGAAGCCAAAAGTAGGGGAGTGTTGGGCGCCGTAGAACCCCGCGTCTATGCTGCAAAGCACCGTACCGTGAGGCAGCTGTAGCGCCTGGAGATCGGACAGCGCATGCGGCATGGTGGCAACCGGCGGTGACCCAACAGTGCGGCCATGTGCGGTGGACAACGACCAGGCAGCCCAAGAGCGTTGAAACGAGGCACAAAGATGCAACGGGGATGGTAATGCAAGGTCCCAAACAGCCATGTTTCGAGCCCTCCAAATTTCGTAGAGTATTCCACAAATCTGATCTTTTAGAAACCCAGCAGATGTTACTGAGTTTCCCAACCAAAGCTCCACCCACTGCATAAAATCATGATCACCAAAGTTAGGGATTTGGAGTTGTGAAATATTCCACACACGTCTAGCATAAACACAATTGCATAAAATGTGCATAACATCCTCCCCAAGCACACCACAAGCAGGGCAAACATTTGGGATCTCCACTCTTCTATTAACCAGGTTAGTAATTGTTGGCAAAACATTTGTGATAGCTCTCCATAAAAATATTCTCCATTTGGGGGGAACCTGTAATTTCCAAATGTTATTCCAAACTGGATCACATGGGGCATAAATTTCACCAAGGCGCCTGTAACCATTCTTTACTGTATAAACTCCCCTAATATCATCCATCCAGAACCAGTCATCTTTAAAATCCACACACACCGGGGTCTGTAAAATCAAACTAGCATCTCTAGGAATAAAAAATTGTGATATTAATTCCTAATTCCAATTCCGGTGCTCATAATTTATCAAGTCTGCCACCATCAAGTCAGAATGTTGCGCAATTTGATCCGAAAGGACAAACGGATCGTGAGGGTCAGGCAACCAGGGGTGGTCCCAAACTTTGGTCAATCTTCCGTTGCCTATTCTTCGCCTGCAACCACTGCGAATTAGCTCCTGGCTGGCCATTATACTTCTCCAAACATAACTTGGGTTACCACCAAGAGTGGCCTCATAAAAGGTATCATTAGGGAAATACCTTGCTTTAAAGATTCTGGCCACTAGGGACTCTGGGCAAGTCAACATTCTCCACCCTTGCTTTCCTAGAAGAGCCAAGTTAAATTCATGCAGTCTCTTAAAACCCATACCACCATGCTTCTTGGGTACACACATCTTATCCCAGGCCATCCAATGAATGCCATCTACCACATTGCTTTTACCCCACCAGTATCTATTCATCAGTCTTTCCAGAGAGACACATAAAGTCTTAGGTAATAGGTAGATACTCATAGTATAAGTGGGCATTGCCTGCGCAACACTTTTCAGTAACACCTCTTTACCTGCCATAGATAACAGTCTCTTATTCCAGGACCCAAACCTCTGCTTCAATTTCTGCTCAACATATGAAAAAACCACTTTCCTGTTTCTACCAATAACTGAGGGGAGACCCAGGTACTTCCCAAAATCCTCAGCTTGCTCAACTCCTAACCCAAAAACAATGGTGTTCCTGTCCCCCAAACTGGTATTTCGGCTAAAAGAAATATTGGACTTATGAAAATTAACAGATTGCCCTGAAAACAGTTCATAAATCTCTAAACAACGTTTCACCTCCATAGTTTCCTGCATGTTTACCTTAAAGAAAAGCAGGCTATCATCCGCAAAGAAAAGATGCGAAATGGCTGGTGCTCCACGAGCCACCCGGCAACCATGTATCCGTCCTTTAGCCTGAGCATCCTGTAACAACAGAGACAAGCCTTCTGCACATATAATAAAAAGATAGGGAGAGAGTGGATCCCCCTGCCTTAAACCCCTAGACGGGATTATTTCCTCGCTCGGCTTCCCATTGACCAGCACCCTGTACCTGACTGTCCGTACACATAACATAATTAGTCTGACCCATTTGCCATCAAACCCCAGCCCCAATAACATACGCTCCACAAACGACCACTCCATCCGGTCATAGGCCTTGGCCATATCCAATTTGAGAGCTGCCCACCCTACCTGCCCTAACTGTTTCCTTCGTAGATAATGGCCAACCTCAGACGCAATAAGAATATTGTCTGAAATAAGCCTGCCTGGCAAAAAAGCACTTTGCGACTCCGAAATAATATTATCAAGCAGTGGTTTCATACGATTAGCAATCATCTTGGCCATTACCTTATAAACCACATTGCACAAAGCAATAGGCCTGAGATCCGCAACAAACTCAGGGGCTGCCTTCTTTAGGGATTAAAACAATATTTGCATCATTCAACTCTAGGGGAAAGGATGATTGAGATAAACAATTAAGCACAAAATCAGTAACATCCTTACCAACGAGATCCCAGAATGCCTGGTAGAAGCCCGGGTTCATGCCATCAGGTCCTGGCGATTTATCCTTTCCCATAGAAAACAAAGCGTGCTTCACTTCCTCCGGCTCAACCGGACGAAGCAGATCATCATTTTGCTCTCGTGTGACACGTGGTGTGAGGGTTTCCACGTGAAACACACCGGCCCCACCACTTGACTGAAATATCTGTGAATAGTAACTCGTGACCAGCGAAACAAGGCCATCTCCCTCCTTCCATGTCCCATTCTCATCCTTGAGCTTCATAACAAAATTCTTCCTCTTCCGGTGCGTGGCATATTGATGGAAGAACTTTGTATTTCGATCAGCACCCTGCAGCCAGTGTTGTTTGGCCCTTTGTTTCCAGAAAGTCTCCTCCTGCGACAGGATGGAACATAATTGACCATCCAGCTGCCTAAACTGCCCCAACGAGACTGGATCCATGCGACCTCTCAAAGCATTCATATCCCGCCTTATAGAATCAATCCTGGAACCAAACTTATGAAAGTGGTCCCCTCCCCATTTCTTCAAACCCTGACCACACGTCCACAATCTTTCCTGCAACCCCATACCCTGTGTGCTCAACCATTGATTCTCCACCACCCCCCTGCAGCCCTCATCCTCCAGCCACGCATTTTCAAAACGAAAACTACGCGGCCTCCGTGTAGTACCTGAGCCATAAATATCCAAAAAAAAGGGCCGTATGATCCGACATCAGAGTCTGAATATTGTATAGCCTGGCTCTATTATGCATCTCCAACCAAGCTGCATCCCCCACCGCCCTATCCAACCGTTCTTCTACCCAATTCGGTGTTCCCTTACTCCGTTCCCAGGTGAAAGGGTACCCGATCATGGGAATAGTCGTCAAACCACAATCAATTAGGGCCTCCCCAAAAACCTCCAATAAACCAGTCGGATGTGGCCGTCTTCCCCTCTTCTCAGATTGATAAAGGAGATCGTTAAAATCCCCTATCGCCACCCAAGGAAGATCAGATGCATCCTTAAGTGATCGCAGAAAATCCCACGACTCCCTTCTCCTCGTGCTTTGAGCAAAACCATAATAGCAAGTGAGCCTCCAATGATGCCGATTCGGTAAAGACACAACTAGATCAATATGATTTTGCGAATACTTGAGCAAACGTGCACTGTTATTCTTTGCCCATAAGAACCCCATACCACCCTTCTGTCTCTGACTGTCCACACCAAAACCACCCTCAAAACCAATCCTCACCCGGAGTCTCTCCACATGACTCCTATCCACCATCGTCTCCATCAAGAACACAAAATCCGGCTTCCTTTTGGACACCAGGTCCACAATCTCTCGAACTGTCCGTGGATTGCCCAAGCCACGGCAGTTCCAACTCAGGATACTCATTGGGAAGGGCGGGCCTGATCAACAGGTCCCGCCAAAACAGAAGAATCAGTATCAACCAACATCACTCCCTCCTCCACCACCACATCACCCGCAACCTCCCTCTCCACACCCCTCCTTCTTTTTGGATCCACCCGAACTCCCTCTTCCCCTTCCCCCCCAACACCACCCCTATAAACCACCGAGGCCGATCTGCCCCAAGTACCCGTAGCACCCCCCACCCTCAACACACCATGATGGCCCTCCTCCGGCGTAACAATACCCCCGCCCCCTGTACGGTTCCCATGCATGCATGAAACCCGAACAGCCCCCCCTTCCCCACGTCCAATCCCTAACTCACGATGCCTCTGCTCCCCTTTTTGCAACCAACTTTCCCCTACCGCCTTTGCCGGTGAGTTACCCCCCGCCTTCAAACTTGCATTGAATGGATACTGCTCGGGTTTCAGACCAGACACACGAGCATCAAGACAAAATTTATCCGTATGCCCTAACTTTCCACAAAAATAACAGAACATATGCAAACGCTCGTAACGGAAATTCACCCATGTCCACGTATTATCTCGCAAAATCATCTTCATTCGTCTTTTTAACGGTGCCGTTACCTCAACCGTGACTTTAACTCTGTAGAATCTAGTCCACGGCCTCACAAAGTTTCTTTCATCCAAACGGACAAAAAGCCCTAGATAATCACCCACCTTCTCCAAAACCTTATCCGTACGGTATCCGACCGGCAAGTCGTGTACCTGTATCCAATAATCTATTGTGTTCAAAGTTACCTGAGTTGGATGCTCGCCAGGACGCAATGGCTGACATACCAAGGTGGCATTCTCAAACGCCCAAGGTCCATTCTCCAACACATAAGCCATGTCCGTATCATGATAGAAAGTGAAAAGATATAGATTCGGTTGCACCTCGGCTACTTGTATCCCCATCAATGGCCTCCACACAGACGCCATAACCTGCCTCATCACATCAAATTTAATATTACGATCGGTCAGAAAGCAGCCTACCAACTGCCAATACTGCTGCGTAAAACCCTCGGCTTCCACCGTGCCCGCCTCCTCCTCAAACCGGACACCGGTTTCCTCGTCGTCGAGCGTGATCTCCGCACATCCCTGCGTTAAGCCTTGAACATCCATTCTGCACTGTTCGTGACTAAACCAGCGCCCCCGTACTATGGCAGTAGCAGGAATTGTTTCGGCAGAGCAAAAACAATATTGTGGTACGGTGTAGCAAGATCAACAAGGAATCCACGACGTAGCAGCACTGTTCCCGCAAAATGCCAACCAAGAAAACAACAAAAAATCACCGACCCAGATGCGACAAAACCTTTGTGATCGGTGTCTAAACAAAACTCCAGCAAAGCAGTATGATTAATCAGAGCACAATCAATCACCGTTGTAGAGGGATAACCGATTGTGTAAGGAAACGCATGCAAATAAACGCAGAAAACGGCAGAAAAACGCAAGAAAAACCCTAGAAATCAAGGAGAGAAATGGAAAACCCTAGAAACCAGGGAGAGAGAATCTTTGATCACCCTAAAGGTCTTTCAACATATATATACCAAATTGCACATAAACAAAATGTCAGAGAAAAAAAAAAAATTATGACATATTGCTAGTGTGCTACGTCCCAAAATAAATAAATAATTATTACAATCTAAATAAATATTGTTGGGATTTTACTGTTATTCATGGCGGCAAATTATGCTGTGCATCCGTATGCACCATGCATGGTGCATACGGATGCAAAAACGACGTCATTTTATTAAAAACGCGCATCTCTCCTTAAAAAAAAGAAATTCAGGTTCGATTCCCAGCAACAACATATGAACTAAAATTCCAGAATCGATGAACTATAATTCCAGAATCTAATGAACTAAAATTCCAGAATCGATGAACTATAATTCCAGAATCTAATGAACTAAAATTCCAGAATATAATCTATGAACTAAAAATTCCAGAATGAATGAACTAAAATTCCAGAATCTATGAACTAAAATTTCGATGAACTATAATTCCAGAATCAATAAACTAAAATTCCATAATCTATGAACTAAAATTCCAGAATGAATGAACAACATAATGTTATTGCTGGGAATCGAACCTGAATTTTTTTAAAGGAGAGACACACATTTTTAATAAAACGACTTTGTTTTTTCATCTGTATGCATCATGCATGGTGCATACGAATGCACAACGTAACTACTCATTCATGGCTTCATGCATCCCTCCGAGGCTTCTTTTTGGATATTTTCGAGGCCGGCAAAGTTCAGATTTTGAACCGGATTCACGTTGATTCTTAGGTTAAGGTGAAATCCGTGGATTTGGAACCCTCCGGCAAATTGTATCGCTAAGATCTAATGATCTTAGTTTTTTTGTGCATTGCGGTAAAGCAGGCAGCCGCTCATGTCTATGGATGAAGCACTAAAATGTTGCGCATAAGGTGTTCAAGAAAATGTCAGTGCCGCCGTCTACTTTGTATGGCTTCGTTTGGAGTTTCTGAGTTAAGAAGGTAATGCCAGATTGATGAACTTATGTTATATACTAGCTAGCTTAGCATTATAAACCAAATTGAACAGTAGTACGTACACACATTTAATTAAGCTATGCAGAATCCTTGGCTCTTCCATTTGTGGACGCTGTTAGGTTTATTGCTGGTAGGGCTTGAAGATTATGGAAGCTTTAGCTGCTTGGATGAAGAGAGAGTTGCGCTTTTGAAAATCAAAGATGCATTCAACTATCCGAACGGGTCTGCTCTCTCCTTCTGGGACGATGAAGAGGTAGACTGCTGCAAGTGGGAAAGGGTTGAATGCGATAACTTGACGACAGGGCGAGTCACTAAGCTTCATCTCCATGATATAAGGGAGCCGAAGCTTGGAGAATTTGACTTCTTCCTTGATGCCTCTTTGTTTCTTCCCTTTCAGGAATTGCAGGGGCTAGGTTTGGAGAATAATACCATACAAGGTCAATCCTACTTAGCTCTCTCACTATATTTCATTTCACTCTTGGGAAATCCTGTACAATTAAGCTTTATAATCTTACATGCTTTTATCAATATAATGCAGGTTTGAAAGGAGAACTAAAGTTAAAGAAGCTACAGCAGTTGAGTTTGGCTCAAAACCAACTAACTGAAATTCCATCCTTGGGAGCATTACTGTCCCTGAATTATCTTAACCTTGCAAGCAATTATCTAAAAAATTTATCAGATTTTAACAGTAAGCTCGATTTCTTTACTGCTACTGTTTGAACTTATGTTTTCTTGCCAACTACTCATTTTTGTTTCTGTGTTTTGCAGAGTTAACTACTTTACGCAGTCTGCAAATATTGGTGTTCAGGAATAATCAAATCACGGGCAATCTACCACCATCCATTGGGACCTTCACCTCCTTGAAATCTTTGTCATTTGCAAACAATGAATTAAATGGCCCTTTACCGGAGGAAGGTACTATACATCTGAATTCTGAAGAGTAGGACTTATGGAACTAATTATTTCTTAGATTGAGTATAACCAAACATGGTGCATAAAATTTATATATGTTTTCTTCCATTTTTCTTTACCTTCAGTTGACTTACTAAATTGTATGGAATAAGATGATTCATTGTCTTCCACTTCATTATTTAATGTTTGTGTGTGCAGGATTTTGCGGTTTGAGGGACATTGAAGAGTTGGATCTTTACTCAAATAACTTTGATGGAAGTATTCCGTTATGCTTTAGCAATTTAACATCCCTAAAGTTCCTAGATCTTTCTTCAAACAGACTTAGTGGAACCATTCCTACAACTCTTTTCTACCGTCTCTCATCCCTTGAACATGTTTCCCTTTCTGATAATCACTTTGAAGGTTCTTTCTCATTCAGTTCATTTGCTAACAACTCTAAGCTTCAATTCTTTGAACTTGATTGCAACAATAGAATGTTGAAGATAGACACAGAAAATCCACCTTGGACACCGCTCTTTCAATTGAACTTCCTTCGAATAACAAATTGTGAGCTCAATGAACCAAGTAGGGTGATGCCCAGTTTCATTTTGACACAAGGGAACCTCAGAATTATAGAACTCAGTAACAACGGTATAACTGGGAGAATTCCTACATGGTTGCTCAAGAATAATTCTGGACTACAATTCCTTTCCCTTGGAGGAAACTTCTTTACGGGCTCATTTGTTATGAATTCTGACCATTGGTTTGGAAACCTGTATTGGCTTGATGTGTCCATGAATAAAATCTATGGAGAGCTTCCGCCTCTTATAGGTTTTATTTTTTCTAACCTGCTCTATTTGCGATTGTCTGACAATGAATTTCAAGGTACAATTCCTCCATCAATGGGTGATATGAGAAATTTGTTCTATCTGGATCTATCCAACAACAATTTTTCTGGAGAGCTACCAGTAAATTTGATAATGGGGTGCATCTCCTTGAGATATTTGAAGCTTTCAAATAATGCTTTTGAGGGGAATTTATTCAAATCAGAGTGGAATCTCACCAATCTTCATCAGTTATTTATGGATAATAACTTGTTCTCAGGGGAACTCTCAGATGGAATTATGAAAAGCTCTCAGCTAGAGATACTGTCTCTAAAGAATAATTTGATCTCAGGAAAAATTCCAAATTGGATTGGAAACTTGTCATCATTGGAGTACCTTGTCTTGGCTGGGAATTCATTACAAGGATCAATCCCATTAAGTTTCTCTGGATTACAACAGTTAAAATTGCTTTACCTTTCCGCGAACTATCTTCATCAAATACCACCTGGTGTTAACCTTTCATCCTTGTTATATTTACATCTTGCAGACAATGAACTTGATGGATCTCTGCCAAGTTTTATTTCCAGATTATCTTCTCTTATATCTTTGGACGTTAGATATAACAAATTGTCAGGCAGAATTCCTAGCTGGCTAAGCTCACTCACAAATTTAAGGACTCTTCTTTTAAAGGGAAATAGTCTCCAAAGCCCGATCCCTGCCGAACTGTGTCAGCTCAAAAACATCAGCATACTAGATCTTTCATTCAACAATCTTTATGGGAAGATACCTCTTTGCTTGTGTAGCATGCCCTTCCGGGAGAAAAATCCACTTCCAATTGATGGAGCCTTTTCCTCCTATGTAGTTGGGTGGTCAATGCCAAGGATAGTGGCTTATGAATATGTGGGTCTGTTTGGTGTGTTGGATTATCCTATGGCAACAAATGTGATTACAAGTGTTTCGGAAAATGTGCAATTTTTAACTAAGGGTAGGTATGAAGATTTTTCTCACAGTATTTTATATTTCATATCTGGACTTGATCTATCTCATAATAAATTCATAGGTCCAATCCCTCCCTGTATTGGTTATCTCAGTGACATTCACTCTTTAAACCTGTCACACAATTATTTCAATGGTTCTATTCCTAAAACATTATCCATGTTGAAAGAAATAGAAAGCATGGATCTGTCCTACAACAGGCTCACTGGTGAAATCCCATCTGAACTGATAGCTTTGAACTTTCTGTCAGTTTTCTCAGTGGCTTACAATAACTTATCAGGTAGGACACCAGCCAGGGTTGCCCAGTTCGGTACATTTGAGAAGCAGAGCTATGAAGGTAACAATTTTCTTTGTGGAATACCGCTTCCTGATTGTGGCACTAACGATACCAAATTACCTGAACTATATGATGAAGGAGCATATGATTCATTCATAGTTGAGTTTCAATGGAGCTTTCTTGGATCATACATTGTGGCATTTCTGGGTGTTGTTGCTTACCTATACTGCAGTCCTTATCATTCCATGCTGCTTTATGAATTCTTTACGACAAGATTTAGGACTTGCATTTCGCCTTTTAGAAGGCGCTGATTTTGCATGGTAGGACAGATAAGACATTATTCTTGGTCATATGGTGTTTGCCTGTTTGACTGGAATTTTGCTGCAACTAATCTCCATGTACTCTTCAACTAGTTGGCATCCATTGTAAAAGTTCATCTTACTGTTTTCTTGATTTCTGAATTGCAATGGGTTACATTGAATGCCCTTTTTATAAGAATGGATTACTAACTCCAAAGATTAAATATACAAGTTGAAGAAGAAGAAGAAACTCCAAAGATAAAATATACAATTGAATGCGCTTTTTTTTTTTTTTTTTGTTGCCTAAAGGTATCCCTCTAACATGGTTTGCTCTATTCACATGAGTGGGGATGAAACCCCCAACCTCATACTTAAGAGACAAGGCGTTGTGGGAGAGAAGAGACAAGGCACTGAACCACCACGTCAACCATGTTGGTTATTGAATGCCCTTTTTATAAGAATGGATTACTAACTCCAAAGATTAAATATACAATTGAAGAAGAAGGGACCGGATGCGATGGACGTTCTGCGGTTCTGGACGAGCAGCGACGATTATAATGAGAATTAGTGATTTTAGGGTTATTCGCTCAAAATGACGTTGCTTTGAGCGACAGTGTATATTTTGGCCAGTCGCATAAAAGGTCTATTCCGGCCTTATTTGAGACGGTATGGGCTGCCTAGGAGCGATTTTTACAACATTATCAAAATGTCATCGTGCTCTTTTCTTTACATGTTTGTTTGTTAAAAAGGGGGGGGGGGGTGGGGGGGGTGGGGGGGGGTATTCATTTGGTTTGATTTAATGACTACAAAGTAGGGGAAAATGACCCAAAAAAAAAATATAGTGACATTTTCATAATTATTACGAACTTGAGATTGCATTGGACAAAGTTTGAGAGTTCATCTATTGACAACTAATAGTGCATTTAAGATATACTATAGTGAACTCAAGTTGGGTGCACAAATATGTACTGTGAATAGTGCACTTAAGATCTGCTATAGTGCACTCAAGTTGGGTGCACAAATATGTAGTGTGAGCAACCCCTCTGGTAAAAAGTGGAGATTGATCTAGGCCAGTCATAAAGGTTCATCAATGGTTGTATTTTTAGTAAAAAAAATACGGATCAATTTTATAAGAGTTAATTCCAGCAATAGTCCTCCGACTATTGTGATTTTCCAAATTTGGTTCTCCTCTTTTAATTTGGACGAAATAAACTCTTGACTATCAAAATTATTCCACGATTGATCCTTCCGTTAACCAAGAATGAGATAGACGTTAAGTTAAGGGGTAAAAAGGTCATTTCCATAGCTAGATCTTTCTTTTCCTTCCTGTTTGACGAGTTTGTACGAATAGAACTAACCCTTTAACCATGAGAAATTAAAATTCAGAACTCAAATCTATAATGCTTAACATCTAAATTCTTAAATCTATGTATCTGTGATTTGTTTCTCCTCAAACTCCGCCAAATTTGACGGTCAACGACGAAGCCAAGCCTAAGGCCGACGATAGCCGATGCCGCAGGGCCCCCCTGCGAATCTGCGAAGAAAACGACAGCCGACTCCGCGCTCCCTTGCGAATTTGTGAAGAAGACAACAACCGACGTCGCCGACGCCTCCAGCCCTCCCATGCGAATGCGAATCTAGGTATGTCTTCTTCATTGAGTTTACTCACATATTATACATCGTGAAAGCTCCCATTCTTGATTCTTCGACTAAAATCTACTGTATTTGGAATTTTGGATTGTGAAGGCTTCAATTTGTTCCATCTAAAGCCGTGTGAGGGCACTATAGCAGTGATTGTGAATTTGGAATTTTGGATTGTTAATTTGTTATTGAGGTGCGGCACTATAGCAGTGAGGTGCAGCACTGTAGCACTCTGCAAATGGGGCAGCTGGCTGGGGGTTATAGAAAGGCTAGTAGTGTTTTTAGTTAAGACTGGGTGGCCATGAAAAGGGATAGAATAAATTAAAGCGATATATAGATGGGTCCGACAGGGTGGCCGATCGGAAAGTGGATAAGAGTGGCAGATCAGGGAGGAAGTTGGGGGAGGGAATGGTGGATCTATGGGGGTTTCAGAAGAAACCAGTAGAGGAAATGACTCTTTTAACCCTTCACTAAAGTCTATTTAACTTTTGGTTAAAGGAAGGACCAATGATGGAACAATTTTGATAGTCAATGGTTGATTTTGTCCAAATTAATAAATGAGGACCAAATTTTAAAAATTACAATAGTCGAAGGACTATTGTTGGAATTAACTCATTTTTATAATTATTACAAAATTTCAAATTAACAATATTTATAAAAATAATTTCACCTCTTTTCCCTATAATTTTCAGCATTTCTCATCTACCAAAATAGATAGATCATATCACTTCTCACTTTTTACATGAGAGCATGTTCTTATATGAACCTACGGCTATATATGTGTGTGCCCACGTACACAAGCATTGCTTAAAAATGCATAAAGATCAATTCAATCTAACTTATATTGTCACACCGTTAATTTTGTCCTTTTTTTTTTTTTTTGTCAATTTTAGTTTAAAGTTTTAATCAACTTGACCATTTTATTACCAACAATGATAATCATTTTTTTTTTTTTTTGAAAGTTACTGGCTCTATTACATTGTAGTATCTGTTCATATACTTTCTCAACCTATTGAAACACAAAGAACCAATAACGCCTCCACTGAGGCTCGAACTTATAATCTTCCAAATGGAAGTCCAACCCGGATACCATTGGACCACATAGTCCTGGTAACAATGATAATCATTTAAATATACATTTTTATCAAAATATTTTTATATGACTATTTTAACTTATCATATATGGATATACAATAATACAAACAGTAAAAAAGTAGCTCTCAATGTCATCTTCAAGCTTATTAGTTCAATAATGCATGCATTCTTATAAGAAAAAAATCATCCAAAGTTCAGTAATTTTAATTTAGAAGCAAATCTCATCTTCAATATAGAAAGATGCATGTAAACCAATCTAAAAGTAATCCCTATGTATTGAAAATTGGGTGAATCTTTTTTTTTTTAATAAAGAAGCTAATTACGTTTACAATAAAAATTGATGGAATGGTCAAACATTCCTTACAGTCAGACGAAACAATTTCTCTAGCAATGCTACAGAAAATTTGATTCGCATACTATTTTACAAATTTGAATCTGAATTCTTTGGAGGAACTTAAAGCTTCTTTAATGATTTGGTTAAACATACCCGTGACTGACACTGGTTGAATAGTCTTGCACACCACCTGAGTATCTATTTCTATTATACTATCCATTGACAATATCTCCATCGGGCTGAACTGTATATCATGGTTCAGAAGAGTCTCTTTTTCATTGTCATGTTCGTCACCCAAAATGAGATTAAATTCACATATGCCATGACCAGTTTTATCATTATATTTCACGCTTTACGAAAAAGAACTCGCCAAGTAAACGAGAGGAGGAAACTCGTCAAAACAATGAGGGTGAATCTTTTTAATATCATTGAGAAGCAAAAACAAAATTAATTGAGCTCGAGAAGGTAAAATTTGAGAGTGATTTTTTTTTTTTTTAAATTGTTCATAATTACATAGAATTGGGTTAAAATTGTGATGCTAAAATGTCATGTTAATTAAAATGGTTTATTTGAATAGATTGTTAATCTAATTGATTGAAATATTCAAAATATAAATTAAAATTAGAGTAAAATTGACTGCACATGGAAATATAAGGGATGAAATTGATATTTTTGTCATAAATAATACTTGAGTCTGTATTGCTTATTAGTGATGTATAATGTAGTATCTGTTCATACATATTTCCTCAATCAACCTACTGAAGCACAAAGAGTGTTACCGCAGGACTACAAACTTTTTGGGTGCATGTGCCGAGTTTTATTTACTATGGAGTAAAATATAGTAATGCTATTTTTCTCTACAAAAATATTCTTAATATTCATGACATGCATGTCACTATTATATTAGATTTTTTTCTATATTTGATTATTATGTGCATTTCTAATTAACAGAGAAAAATATTCTTAATATTCACGACATGCATGTCATTATTATATTAGATTTTTTTCTATATTTGATTATTATGTGCATATTTAATTAACTTGTAATAGAGTTGGCTAATTCAGATGTATCTAATAAAAATAAAGAATTTCATTTTCTTAAAACTATTTCATCAAAGTGAATATTATTATATAATTCTTGTATGAAACTGACTTACGTGAGAGATGTAATACTTTTTAATTAAAATGTAAAATAAGTTAACAAATATTGTATTACATGTCCCAAGTTAAACGGTCTAACAAAAGATCTAAAAATAATTAAAATAGTAATCCTACATTGCTCTACAAAAATATTCTTAATAATCACGACATGCATGTCATTATTATATTAAAATTTTTAATATTTGGTTATTTTGTGCATTTTTTGATTAACTTACAATGGAGTTGGTCCATTCACAATTGTCCAATGAAAATAACGAATTTTTTTTTCACTATCATATTAAAAGTGAATAGTATATAATGATTTTAATATGAGAAAGAGTAATCTTTGTGTGTAATTGTCTCATGTGATGAGATCAGTAATACATTTTAATTAAAATAAAATACTTTTTTATGCACCCAAAAAACGTATTATATGTCTCATGGTGAGGTGGTCTTACCGTCTTACAAAAAATTTACTCTATATATAAAAAAAAATAAAAAAATTTACTCTATATATAAAAAAAATAAAAATTTTAATTTGTTACTAAAATTAGCTATCACCTATTGGATGCCAAATAAGTAAATAACAAATGCTATCTTAGCCACTAAGGCAACATCCAAACAATATGCATAAATAATAACTGAGCGGCTGAAGCATGATTCTGGTATAAGAAGATAACAAGTGGCAGATGTATTACAATTTTTTGTTTAATAGCTAAGTACATTTTTGTTGAATGTAAAATGTATGTGAAGTCAAAGTAAAATAGACTGCATGGATTTAACACGATGATATTATCATTGAAGAACAATTTCTGCAAGGATATGGTGATCTTTAATATGCTGCTTCATGCTTTGAATTTTGAAAGAGAGAGAGAGAGAGAGAGAGAGAGAGAGTAATGTAGAAGTAGCCCATAGAGCCATAGAGGTAACAGCTGTATACTTCC